CCCCATCTCACCCCCAAGCCCTGCGTGCCTTGGACTGCCACCGTCTGCCTTCCATTCGTTCTCCAGATTCTGCTTTCCTTCTGATTCTTGGTCACCTCTTCTCCTGTGCCAACCTCCTCCCTGCCTCCAGCTTCTCCACTCTTCTCCATTCTCCTCTAGGGATTTTGGGCATGCACGCACACACGCCCAGCATGAGTTTAAGCCACCGGGTCTGGGACTCAATACTATCTTTCTAACGTTCTATAACTCCAAGAGGCACTAGAGTGTGGCAGGTATGGACTTCAGAGCAAAATTACCTGAGTTGAAACCCCAGCTATCCAACTTACAAACTGTGTGGCCTTGGGCAAGTTACTTGACCACTCTGTGCCACGACTCCTGCATCTGTGAATGGTGGTAATAATAGGACCCACCTCCTTCAGTGATTGTGAGAATTCACTGAGGTGACATAAGTAGAATGCTTAGAAGAGCCACTGTCACGTAGGCAGTATTAGGCTTAGCTGTCCTATCTTCATCATCCTTATCACCATCATCTGCCCCCTCATCGAATCTCAACATCACATCACCGTTTAATATCATCACAAATGAGCATCACCATCCTCGGTGTCATCATAACATCACTGACATCATCATCACGACAATGTTCTAAGATTCTGGGACTCTGAGGTATGAGTTTTCCAAGATTTACTGTGTCTAAGGCGCAGCCATGTTGGTGCAGGCAGTAGGTGCCACTGCGCAGTCCTAGAACCACTAGAACCACATGGGAGACCCAGGTTTGGCTCCTGAACCCACCAGGTATGATGGGGAGATGTCTGTAGTCCTGACTGGCTGGGGGGCTAGGGTAGGATGATTGTGGCATGGCATGACCTATCAAGAGTCTCTCCATGTGTTTCTCTTCATAAATAAATGAAACTTTTATATACTATGGGTCCAGCCATGTGGATGGTAGTTAAGAAAGCTGGATTCCACATAACCAACTGTGTGGTTTGAGCCTGAACCCGGCAGCTTGGAAAAATACGCCAGGTGTGTGTGCATGTGTGTCCAAAAATTCCAAAAGGAGAATAGAGGATAAAGGATTACAGCTTGGTCAGCCTCCCTGGAGAGTGCTTTCTATCTCTCTTTCTCTCTCTCTCTCTCTCTCTGTCTGACTGTCTCTGGTGAGAGCATGAGCCCTATAGCAAACTGAAAAAAGAAAACAGAAAAACAATTACTGGATCCGATCCTATTATTCTAAGCTCTGTGTGGTTCTAAAGTCTGAGCTTCTAATACTCAAGGCTTAATTTTTGTCTTACGCATGTATAGAAGCCCATTCAGCTCAATTCTCTATATTTTCTAGCCCCAGATCAGGGCAGGGAATCTTGGGGGGGGGTCACTTACAGGTGGCTTCAGTGGTCCGACGGCTGTAGGACTTGCGGACGTGGTACCTGACCACTAGCTCGCCTCTCTCCACTGTTGGCTCAAACACCTCTCTGGAGGGAAGAAGAGAAGGTAAGGGCAGGGCAGACCCATGTGGAAACCCCTCCTTCCACCAGCAGTGAAAGTGAGCACCATCTCAGCCCCAAGCCCTGCGTGCCTTGGACTGCCACCGTCTGCCTTCCATTCGTTCTCCAGATTCTGCTTTCCTTCTGATTCTTGGTCACCTCTTCTCCTGTGCCAACCTCCTCCCTGCCTCCAGCTTCTCCACTCTAGTCTGCCTAAGGCTCCCTGGGGGCTCCAACTCACCCATAGCGCGTCTCCTTCTTCCGCCGGTGGACAAGGAAGAGGGTCAAGATGAGGACACAGGCAGCGGCCACGACTATTCCCAGCAGCACATACCACCAGGGCCACGAGAAGGCAGGAGCTGGGGGGTCACTCACTATCGGGGGCACAGGAGACTGGTCATGGCTGAGGCCCCGGATCCAGCCTCTGGGACCCAAGGGGGTGATGAGGGAGGGAGTCAGGAGGCATGGGAAAAGATGTGGACATACTTGATGAGAGCATGATGGACGTGTTCAGTACCCCAGGGACAGGACGGGGCATGCGATATGCTGAGTGTGCATGGCAGCAGAAGGAGTGTGAAATGTGTAGGGTGGGGAGTTAAGAGTAGGATGGAGGGCTGGCCCTATGGCCTACTGGTTGGGGGAGCTGGATTCCACATGGTTTACTATGGTTCAAATCCCCACCCCACCAGCTTGAGAAACACTGGCACGGGTGTGTGTGTATGCGTGTGTAGTACGTGTGTGTGAGCGCATGCGCGCCTGAAATCCTGTTAGGATGGAGAAAAGGAGGAAAAGGAATTGCTTCTCAATTGCTTCACATCCCATGGGGGAGTGCTTTCTTCCTCTCCCTCTCTCTGTGTCTCTCTCTGGTGAGTACATGCCCTCTGATAATTAAACAAAAGAGTAGGGGGCCAGCAGGTGGCATAATGGTTATGGTGCCAGTCTCCTACATGGCCCAACTGAAGTTCAAATCCCGCACCTAGCATCTTTTTTTTTCTTGGAGAGGTTTTTGCTATAGGGCGCGTGTGCTCACCAGAGAGACAGAAAGCAAGAAATCACCCCCCAGGGGGGGATGGCCACGCTGCAATCCCTTCTCCTCCATTCTCCTCTCGGGATCTTGGGCACGCACGTACACACACCCAGTGTGAGTTTAAGCTGCCAGGTTCGGGACTCGAACCGCGGTCGACTACATGGGAGTCCAGTGACATAGCCGTTACGCTACCCATCAGTTCGTTCATCCCTCCCCCTCTGCCTCCTCCCTTCCATCCACCCCCAATCTACCACTCACTGGGTCCATTGTGCTGGGCCATTCTAGGCACCTCCATGAAGGACCACACAAACCTCAGACGTGGAGGGTTAGAGTGGTGAGTTTGGAAAACATGAGAGGCACAAGAGCTGTGTGTAGTGACAGTGCGGAGCCCTCACTGGGCGTTGAAGGGAGGGAGGGAGGAGAGGGATGTGAAGCCCTTACCCAGCTGGTGGACTGGCTGTTCTTGCCCTGTGAGGAGAAAGCATATGCAGGAGCTGCTTAGAGAGGGCAAGGCTGGCGTGACTCACGTGAGGGACGGGGGGCTCTGGGGAGGCTCAGGATAGCAAGAGAGCCGGGGCTGGGGTAACACTGAAAGGTATGGGGAGCGAGTAGGTGGGCAGGTAGAAAGCGGTGGAGCACAGCTTTGGAGTTACCTGGGCGCCAGGGCTCCAGGGGCACAGGGAGGCTCCAGGGCCCATCCCCAGCAGCGGTGTAGGCTGCCACGCACACTGTCAAGTTGGGCACGGGCCCGTCCCCCCGCAGCTCCAGGGTCACCTCTCGCTTTAGCCCCACATCCATGAGCACCTAGAGTTCAGAAGTGGCATCAGGCTTCAGCCAGAACTTAAGCCTTTACCCTGTCCTCAACTCCTCATCTTTCTCGAAGCCCTCTCCTCACCCTCCAGCCCTTACCCCCTTCCCCTTCCTCCCCTTGACCTCCTGCCCCATCCTTTTCATCCTGTTTCTCCATCGCACGTCCAATAAGACATGACCTGCACAGGGCAGGGGCTTCATTTGTCTCACTCACTGCTGGCCTCATTTCCTCCGCGCGGTGCTTGGCGAACAGTACCACTCAAGAAATGCTCGTTGAAGAACTGAGTTATCGTCTCACCTTCATCTTTCCACCCCCTACTAACTTTCTATCCTCTCGCTCTGCCAGGGGAGTGTTGCCAGCCTAGGTGGTATCTTTGTGCAAATGATTCCTCGAGAAGCTACACGACTCTGCAGTAAAATTATTGCAGGAATATACATGTCTACTGAAATGCCTCTGCCATGGCTCCCACATAGCCATTCCCTAAGCCTGGCCTAGACCCCTTTAATCTCCCCAAAATGTGCTCCCCTAGGGATAGTGCAATTGTCTACTACCCAACTACTCCACTGTCCCTGTCTGCCCTTTTATGTACTCCTCTCCATCTCTCTCCTCCCCCAGTCACTCGGCCCCAGCCCAGCCAGCAGCACCCACCTCAGGGGTGTCCTGGCCTCGATATGCCAGCCGGTACCCTAAGAGGGTGCCCTGCAGGGGTGCCCTTGGTTCCTGCCAATGTACGAAGGCCTGGCTCCCATTCCGCATGGCGCTAACGTTCTCAGGGGGACCTAGGGGCACTGGAGGACAGGGAAGAGGGGAAGCTGGCACCACCACCTCTTCCTGATCTCCGCCCCTGTTCCCAGGAAGTGGGGGCAGGGTGCAGAGGGCATGCACGTGGGCACTCATGCAGGCCTCTCATGAGCGGAAGCACAGGGCAGAGGTCTGGGAGAGATGCCAGTGGGCAGTGCTGAAGGGTCGGGGGCTGAATGGGAAGGAGACTGAGGTCATGTGGGGCAAATGGGTGAAAGGAGATGCTGAGGGGAGCACCGAGGGAAGCAAGGTCCAGGGGGTTAGTGAATGCCATCTCCCTCCCCAGCCCTTACCTCCCTCCGGTGTCTCCACAGAAAGCCAGTGGGTCCAAGGCGAGGGGCCCTGACTGCTGGCACACGCCACCCGGATATGATAAGGCATGTGAGGGTAGAGGCTGCCCAGCCGGAGTCGGTGAGGGGGTACGCTGGCGTGCAAGGTGAGAGGCTCTTCTGGGGGGTCCGGCTCTCCCAGCGAGATGCCCACCCTATCGTCCGACAGCACAGCCTGGGAAGAGAGAAAGGCGTGAGGCCAGGAGAACCGCACAGTCACGTGAGGCAGACATAAGACTCTGGATTGTCGTTGTCCTGGAGAGACAGCACGACTTTGCAAGGATGCGGGGTGTGAGTGTTGTAGCCCCAGGGATACTAGATTTGCAAAGAAAGGAGACCTCGCAAATGACTGCACGAGGTGGCTTTGTCACCACTTGCAAAAGCCACCTATGCCAATACTCTTTTTCCTCTCTGAGACTCAGTTTCTCCATCTGGAAAATGGGGTCATTGGGGAGCAAATGTCTTCTGGCATTGTTTCAAGATTAAATGTGGTTATGCCCCAGGCCAGCAGGTAGGTGTAGCGGTTCAAGTGCTGGACTTTCACAGGGCTGACTGCAGTTCGAGTCCCAGACCCAGCGGCTTGAAACTCACACCGGGTGT